GATCCAATTGAGGCTAACCCTTTTGTTAGATCCACTTTGAGCATTGTACAATTTCATTGCCCTATAAAAATTGATGAAATATATCAAATAATATACTATAATGTTTCGATAATTTATGTTACTTACGCATCAATAACTTGCTTCAACTGCTGATGGACATTGGTGGGACCTAAGGAATCAAGATAATAACAACTTGTTGCTTTCATATCTATCACCGCCAACACCCAATGTCTTCTATAAAAACGAAAAACCAAATTAAGTTACTAAAATATATTGATAATCAAATGAAAAAACAAACCCGGGATTATATGGAACTAGGACGATGTCATTGTCCTTTCTTAGAGACAATCGATCTGCAACGCTTCGAATTGCCTCATCACTATTTTAAAATTTTACCTTACGTCCTGATGGCGAGATTGCAGACGAGCTCATAAAACAAATTCCATGATCTATTTTTGGCCTATTCTTGATTTCCTCAAACAAGTACCTATATATTAACATTAGACAAGTACGATGATTAAATATATTGTGTTTGAATAAAATTAAAATTATGCACTTACATCATATAACAAGTAATCGCAGAACCGGTCATCTCATCCACAGTAAAAACTACTTCAAAATCTTCCCAAGTTATGTACGTGAAACTCTCGTACCCAAACATATCGTCCTCACATTGCACTTTCACGGACTCCACATTTTTAAGTTGTATATCAACCATACATGCAAACACTTTCAAAACACGGTTGCTTTCAACTCTTAGCCTTGTCCTCATTTGTGCTATCGTCCTCTTCCTTTGCGGTGTTTCTTCCTCCTTTTCTTTCTTTCTTTCCCTCTTCGGTGTCCCTTCTTCTTTCTCCTCTTCCTTTTTCCTTTACGGTATCCCTTCTCCTTTACCCTCTTCCTTTTCTTTCTCTTGTTCCGTCTTCGGTGTCCCTTCTCCTTTCTCCTCTTCCTTTTCAACAAGTTCTCTTTGTCATTTTTTTCCTTTATTACTTTCTACTTCATCTCCGTTCACACGTTTTTTTCCCATAAACGCCAACACTTTTTCCTACAAAAAAAATATAAAGATATCATTTAAATTAGACATATATAATTTCTTTAAATAAATGAAAATATTACCAAATCAGAGCATCGAATGACTAGATGTCTAGGCCACTTCACTAGGAACCCCACTGCATCTTTAACCTTGTAAATGAACTCCTCATCTAGTGGAAACGGTAGTAAAGCCTCTCCTTGCACACTCATTTCCATCATTACTTCAATGTTTTCACCTGTTATATAAAGTTATTACTAAGATACAATATTCTAAAAAGTCAAAAAGAAAACTAATATTTTTTGTAATACCTGATAGATCATTGTGCTTCACTATTATTCCTTTGGCAACTATATTGGAGGCAATATCAATCGCAAGATAACAGGAAGTATCCTACAAATTATATATATATTAGTTGTAGTCAAGACTTACATTTAATTCATACTATAATTTAATAAGACTTACAAGTAATTCCTCGGGTGGGTTGTCTTCAAAATCTACTTTGCCCCACCCTTTGCAACTTGCGCCTTCAGAAGCATGATTTATCCCTTTTTGTAGTTTCTCTATTGCACCTTCAATTTGGTTGAACCTTTTTTCAATATTTTTCTTCTCACCATCTAAGTAGTTCTTCACGGTATTGGGTAAGACAAAGTATTGGTGTGGCCTTACAAATTTGCACATCCCTCGTACACGCCCACGTTGTTCCTGGGTACCTAGGGCTTGGGTAAGCATGTCATTTGTTCCACAACTGACCTCTCCTAAAGTTTGTGACTTCTGCATCTCTTCCAGTAGTGAAAGCAAATATTCATATTCAAAATATTCAAAGGATTAAAGCTCATATGGTGCTATAACAATAAGATGAAAATAAATAAAGTAGGAATGTTCACAAGAACTTACCATTTTATCAACAACAATCTGGACATTCGGGTCATAACCTCCTTTTTTCATTTGTCTTTCCTTTTTCCACAACAATGCTCTATCAATCTCGACTTCCTCCTTTCTTGTTTCTTGCATCTAAATTAAAAATAATAACAACAATGAATTAACATAAACAATTGCATATCTAAACTATTCAATTAATTTACTACATACAATCTCAAGAGTTAGTCCAGCATATCCTTTTCTACTCAACCGATGATTGTATCTATGTTGTCCACGTATTTTTTTACCTTTCTGACTTATTTCCTACATTAGAAACATTAAAACAGTCAGGATTGGTTTCTAAAACTAATATATATAACAATTACAGACTGGTTTCTAACCTCCCACTTCTTTGAAAGTCTTTGCGATACAAAAACCTTCCACTCATTTATCTTCAAATAAGGATACATCTCTGGAGGGTTGAGTAGATTTGCATTAGGGTCATTCTTAAACTTCTCAATGAATTTCTTATACATATAATGCTTAAAGTTCTTCCACTTTGTCCCAATGGATTGAAGGGTGTTCTTCCGACTCCTTGGATCAAGTTCAAAATTCATCTGAAACATAAAGCGTTAATTAAAAAAAATATTATTTTTAACAAAAAAAAAGATTAATTGGAAGTTAAGATCAGATGTTAGACTTACCAAAATGTATTTCCATAAGTCTACTTTTTTTTCTTGTTCAACATCTCACCAAGTGGCATAAGTTATAGGCACCATTGATCTTGCTACCATGCCCTCAAAGGAAGCAAGTTTCGTTGCTTCAACGCCAATCGAAACACCCTTTTTATTGTAAGTAACGATAACTTTTCCTTTAGTAGTTTTTCCCTTTATTGTCAGACCTCTTTGTTTAGAGTCTTTATCATGACTCGAAGACTTATCCAAATCCATGGTACTAAGTACAACCTGTTTCAACATGATTGAAATAAAAAAAGTTAGTACATTGTTATTTCTTGCAGTTGGGACAGAATTAATAACATACAGATGTTGAAATAAAAACATACCAAAAAGTAAAGATTTTATTTTGCAAAAAATATTTTAAACTAATATGCCCTCACCATCTGGGCGTGTACACAAAAACTCATCATCAAGATCTACTAAAGGGAAGTCTTGTGAAAAATAAAAAGTAACATGGTATTCCAACATATCATCGGTTTCACCATTTGCTCCATACTTGTACATCTTATGTGGTGTGAAGCTGACAACAGACAAATTCACATCTTGTTGATCTTGAACATAAAAAACTTGTTTGGCTTGACTAGTTAATATGAAGCGTTCAGATTGGTGATCAAGCCTAGCAAAGTTGACCACTGTGAATCCAAAGTCATCTTTTTTTATTCCACGACTATCAACCCAATCACACATGAAAACAGGAACAGTGAATATGCAATAATCAATATCCCATATCTCCTGTATACGACCATAGTAAGTAACAGCTCCATACACGGGATTGGAGTCTTTTGCACTAGCAATCTGCATAGCATGTGCAACTAGAGATACTCCACTACATTGAGTTGTTCTTGATTCATCTTGAGATGTTGTATGGAATCGATACTCATTTATGGCAAAACCGCTATATTTCTTCACAGCAAAACATGGCCCTTTGGCCAACCAACGAACACTCTCACAAATGTCTTCCCCGTTAGCGAAATGTGTATCAACCTTGGTCTTAAGCCAACTAATAAATGTTCGACTGTGCTGAGTCTGCAACCATTTACTATTTCGAGAGGCACGGGGGTTATGATCCTTCAATTCTAACATATGTTGCCTAAATAATATTTGAAGATAGAATCATATTAGAAGTTAGAAAAAGTTTAATGCATTACATAGAGTACAAAGAAGACACAGTGATTCTTACTCTATATACGGCTCCACATCTGCAGTATTTCGTAATACATAAAGATGAGCTTCATCAAGTAGTTTAGCATCTACAACATCGACTGTATCCCGTGATAAAGGTTTGCCGGTGCGAATTCTTTCATCAACACATTCATGAGGATTGCCAATTGATTTCATATTTTTTAAGTAGTCTGAGCAAAATTCCAAGGCTTTCTCTGCCACATAACATTCTGCAATACAACCTTCGGGTCGATGATGATTTCGTACATAGCCTTTGAGTGTTTTCATGTATCTCTCAAATGGATACATCCACCTAAAATGAACTGGGCCACATAACCTCACCTCTCTAACTAGATGCACCATCAAGTGGATCATGACATCAAAAAACGAAGGAGGAAAATACTTCTCTAACAAACACAAAGTTAATACAATGTCACTTTGCAACTTGCCTAGCTTATTAACATCAATGACTTTACTACACAACACGTTGAAAAAATGACACAAACCTATGATTGTTTTCCTCACTTTCATATGTAACACCCCCTTTATTGCAAAAGGGAGAAGTTGTTGCATCAGTACATGACAATCATTAGACTTCAAACCATTCATCTTTGATACATCATCAGACACGAGATTCTTAAAATTTGAACAGTACCCATCAGGCACTTTTATGGTAGACAGGGTCTCATAAAACTGGTGTTTTTCTGTGGTATTCAATGTGTAGCACGCAGGTAGAAGCCAAGTACGATTCCCTATTGGTTGAGTTTGTAATTCAGGCTTAATGCCCATCGCCTCAAGATCTTGTCGTGCTCTTAACCCATCCTTCGTCTTGCCATGCAAATTCAACAATGTCCCATAAACACTCTCACACACATTTTTCTCTATGTGCATAACATCTAACTGATTACGAACGAGCAACTTCTTCCAATATTCAAGTTAAAAAAAATTGATTTATTGTGCCAAAATTTAGCTCTCTCATCGATGCTTTCTTTTTTCTTCTTTCACGTTTTCTTCTTAGACGTTGTCTTCTTACCCCATGAAGTCTCAAACCCCGTCAGATAGTCGTAAATCTCTTCACCTGATAATGGTTGTTTTATAACACCATCCTCTTGTTGATTGTTGAAATCTTTTTTTCTTTTACGAAGAGGATGTTGAAGTGGTAGGAATCTTCTATGACCAAGAAAGTATACTTTTTTCAAATTTGGCAATCACTGTGAACAAGTATTCTCTGAACATATTGGACACGCATAATAACCTTTGGTAACACACCCCAAAAGATTACCATATGCAGGAAAGTCATTTATAGTCCAAAGTAATATTGCTCTTAGATTGAAGTATTCTTTCTTATAAACATCATATGTCTTCACGCCAGTTTCCCACAAGAGTTTTAGATCTGCTATCAATGGTGCCAAGTAGACATCAATATTGTTACCAGGTTGTTTTGGACTTGATATCAATAGAGTCAACATCATGAATTTTCTTGTCATGCACAAATAAGAGGGTAGATTATAAGTTATTAAGATAACCGGCCAACAGCTATGCTTGGAACTTAATGACTTGTGAGGATTGATACCATCAGCGGACAAGGCTAATCTAAGATTCCGTTTTTCTTCTCCAAATTCTTTCCACGTTCTATCAACAAGCTTCCAAGAGGGGGAATCGCGAGGATGACTTAGCATACCGTTATTAGCCCGACCTTGTGCATGCCAAGTTAAGTTTTGTGCCATTTCTGGTGACGAAAACATTCTCTTAAATCTGGGGATGGGAGGGAAATACCACAAAACTTTCGAAGGTACGTTTTTGGTATTCTTCTTCCAATGAGATGTGCCACAAGTTGGACATTGAGAAGCATTCTTATGTTCTTTCCAGAATAGAACACAATCATTTTCACATGCATGAATTTTTTCATATTGTAGACCTACTCCTTTTAGCAATTTCTTGGCATCATATAGGGAGTTAGGTATTCTATTGTTTAATGGTAAGACATATTTTAGGGCACCTAACAATACTTCAAAACTAGCCTCAGACCACCCAAATTGACCCTTGATATGTTGGAATTTCAATAATCCACTAAGTGCATTATACTTTGACCCTACGTAAAGTGGCTTCTCACATTCTTCAAGAAGTGACTTCAATGAATCGGAATCTTTTTCTACATCTCTGAAGGCAACATATAGCATATCTCTTGTATAATCAAATTCGGGAGGAATAGATTTGTTAGGGCATCTAGAATCAAGCTTGGGTTGTCTTTCTCCATGGAAAGAACAAACCTTATAACTTTCATCGAAGCCATAGGCAAACAGATAATAGCGCACGGTCTGAATTGAGTGGTGCCACAAATTAATACAATGTATACAAGGACATCGAATAAGATATGAATTTGGATCATTACTTTGTTCAAAGTCTAGAAAGATGTTTACACCCACTTCATATGCATCAGATAACCTATCAGACGAAATACATGCTTTATCCATCGACCATTACTTACCAACCTAAATAATTATAAAGTATTAGCAAAACTACAACTTTATAACTAATGATTGATGAAATATTTATGTAAGATATTAAGAACAAAATGTTTACCCCAAATTACTGAGTACAAAGTAACCCTAACAAACTCATTTTGTACTATGCTATAGAACAATGTTCAAGGGTTATGACCCATTCATAAAATCTAAAAAACCCATTTGAAACTGGAACAAACCCTTACAATGTTAGATAAATTATTGGTGTTAGCCTATTCGATATCTTCTAATGTTAATGGTGTTAGCCTCAAAATCTCTGTCTTGTGCTTGTTGTAATTTAAGTTGAAGCACATAGTTGTAACATGAGAAAGCCTCATTGCCTATATTCGTAATCATCATTCAAAAAATGTTGCCTAAATCTAAGTTAATAATCGTATTTTATGATACTTGAATTCGGGTGTGAACATTATATAGGAGTACATGTCTGAAATGATTATATTAGACAGAAGATTCTTAAAATTCATATGCTAATACCCATATGATAGACAAAAATGTTAGAAATAAACACTTCAAGAAAAGAATGAAAAGTCGGAGCAACATATAGTTACAAAATTCGACTAAAATAAATAATAAGATAAGATGCCACGAACCAGTATACCCAGAGAACTGTGGATATTATGTATGGGGCATTTCTTGAGAGAGACTCAGCAAAGGAATGTCATGTTCCATCCAATGATAGCATCCGTGCCAAAGTTATGCCAACCTACATTTATCAAAAACAAAAATTAAATTTCAAGAGGGAGTGTTTAGTTAAACTAGCAAAAAAATAAAAAGGAAACTATGATACTCGAACGTAAGTATGAGTGTCGAATACATGTATTATTAGATATTTTAAAGTTATTTCTATGCATTTAGAAGATCTTTGGAGGTCATATCCACATATCTATATGTATGACACAAAATATCAAATATTGATACATCAAATGAAAAGAAGAATCCAAACAACATAGAAAGCAGAAAAAGGCAGGAAAAGTTGTGTTAGTGAAACATTAAGTACCAATGCAAAGGACAGAACCAGATATTTAAAGCCTCTTCACTAATGAAAAGTTAACAACCAACAGCCATAAGCAACCAAAAGTAAATCCATCTGAAACATGACAATTAGGTAAAAACTTGGAACCATTCTAGTTAGCGAATGAAATACATATAAGGGAACTGGGAAGCAGAGGCACCTCCCTCACTCATTTTTTTTAAACAAAAGAATCCCAAACATAATATAACCTTCCAAAAATCCTCAAAATATATACTATTGTAGGGTCATTCAGACCTATATCGCTTGGACTCAAAAGTCAGTAACGGATACGGGATTCTTTTTGAGGTTTATCCATGTACTTGGAGAGTCATATCACCATACCCTCTTTATGTCGGACAATGATACTTCAAGTTAAGTGAAACAAGATATTTTTTTTAAACATTTCAACAAGCATAACAAAACATATATCACGAGATAATCAAAGTTCAACATTTTTGAACCAAAATACATAATCCATCAAAACCCAAAAATCAAAAAGAGATCAAGAACTAGCATAAGAGTCCACTGAAGTAAAAAAAACGAAATAACCCACTTAAACGAAGAATGAAATGAACAAATCAGTAGTGATTAAATAAATAATAGAAAAATAAACAAGCATGCATGCAACAAATCTCCATTCAAAAAAACAAATATGAAGTAAAAGCATCAAACCCATTAAATCAGACAAAATAGAAATCAACAAACCCACAAATTTGGAATATAGAACGAGAATTACCTGTGAAAACCCTTGATTTTTAACTCCCTCGGCTGCGTTGTGGTAAATGGCCAAACCGGTGGGAGGATGCAAAGACAAAAAGGGAAAACAGAGAAAATTGGGGGAAGCATGGCCTGAACTTTTGTTAACTAGGGGGAAGATCAAGCGCGCGGGAAATGATGAAAAATAAGGGGGGATTAGAATACGACACCTAAAGATGACACACAAAATTATCTATACTCCGTGTTTTTGTAAATTTTTTGGATTATGACTATTAAATATGACACACATCATTGTAAGTCATAAATCGTTCAGATTTTAAAAAACATGACATTTTTTTATGACACACATGTTTTGCAAGTCATAAATTAGCGTGTGTCATCGTTCGTGTGTCATTAAAGGTATATTTTCTTGTAGTGCGACCATTTTCAATTAATTGTAAAAATTTGTATGAATTCTAAAAAAATCATAAATGGTGAATATGTTGTAAGGTTTATGAAATCAAAATTTACTAAATTCACTCAAAATTTCCTAGATTCACACAATTAATCTGAAACCATTAGCAAACAAATTAGTACTACTATTTATTAGTTAATCGAATTAAATTAAAAAAAATCAAAATACAAACAAAACTTATTAAAAACCAAACAAGGGATCAAAACCAAATTAAAACGAATTTATAATTTTCAATTGCAAAGACAATTAATTAATCGACTATTGGCCTGACTCTATAAAAAAAGTCCCCAGTGGAGTCGCCAAGCTGTCGAAACGATTTTTTTCTTAAAGGTGAAAAAAATGATATTTTGAAAACTACATTAATTTTTATTTACCTCTTTCAATTGATTTTTAATTTAAAAACAAATGCAATTTAAAAAACCACTCGTTTCGAAAATTTTGGGATTTCATTTACAATAGAAAAATATGGTTCGAAGAGTCGCCATCAATCTTTGATTAGGGTGTGATTGGGCACCCAAAAACATTTTTGTTATTTTAAATAAAGTTTAATTTTAATTAAAACAACAAGTTAAAGTCTGCGTTACCAAAATCGAGCTCGGGAGTTGGTTACGAGTGAGGAACGATTAGTACCTCCACAACGTCCTAAATCGGTACCTAGTCGATTAATTAATGTCTTTGCAATGAACTTAACAAATTCGAACTTAATTTGATTTTTGATCCCATAAAACAAAGATGTGGATTTAATAATATTCAAAAGAACCCAAATAAATTAAATTAAAATTACCAAGTACTTTTAGAAAGATAAAGAATGTTCGATTATTTACAAAGATCGAGATCAGATCTTAAAAGCTATAACAACCTTTTCTCGATAAATTTAAATAGCCGAACATTTCTTTTTCTTCCATTCCCAAATTTTAAAGTGATGGATCAATTTTAAGGCGTCAATAATGGGATACACTTTTATTTTAAAATCATTAAAAGCGGACCTCAAATACATTATGACAACCTACTTAAAACAAATTTAAATTAAAAGTGTATTACCCTTAATCCAATTATGTAATAGGGGTTAAGTTACACATAAGGGTATCATACATCTCATACAAAAATAATGCCATGAGATTTACTACTGAATTATTCACATACTCGTACCTATGCAAACATATCATCATACAAAATAAATATAAACAACTAATTAAAGAAAATAAACCTAACAATGGACCAAATTAAAATAAATTTAAATTTAAAGAATTACTCTAAAATTGAATTAATCTAAATTAAAAGGTTCAATTTAAAGTTAACATTCTAGAACCAAATTTAAATTCTAATTAATTACAAGGCCATAAATTTTCTAATTTTAATCAATATCCAATAAAACTAAATAATTAAGAAACTAAATAAGGAAACATGAAACCAAACAGAGTTTAGGATTAAAGCAAAACCTATATTAAACTATAAGGACTAACCCATAAAATAAACCTTTAACCTAAAGTATACATGCCAAATTATGGCAATTTACGACATTAACCTAAAACTAAAGTGGAGAGCCGTCTCTCAGCTAATGCTTCCCTCTCCTCACATTTGGTCTCTCGATCGAGACCCTTCACAAAACATAACCACCACGTACTGTCGCTCTTCACTTTCCCCTCCTTTACTCTCTTCTTCAACGGTGCCATTCTCACAAAGATGAAACTGCCTACTTCGGTGAAGACTCAACCTAGCAAGGTAAGTAAAATCGAAACCCTATTTTTTACTCTCTATACTCTAAAAAACTAAAAGAGACAACCTCTATTTAAAGCAGCCCTTCGATCGTTCGAACCCTTTCACCCCGATGGCTTCAACTCCGGTGACCAACTCCTCAACGTAAATTGACTCCTCTCTTCTTTATTTTGATAATGAACTCATCCATTTTTCTCTGACTAACACACCCTCTATTTCGACGAGACTTGAACAACTAGGAAACAAAGCGGGACGAATTACAACTGAGGTAAGCGTTTAGACTATCTTCTTATTTGTTTGATTTCGATTCAAAACATATACACACACAAGAACGATATGAAAGCAACGAAGAATGGAAATTAAAAAAACCTTTTTTTTTATTCTGTGTACTGCTTTGATTCGATGATGAAAAAAAGAACCCCTCTGTTTCTTTTGATCTTCGAATAAGAGGAAAAAAAGCCTCCTTTTAAAATCATTTTTCTTCCCTCTTGAAGAATAGTCACTTGTATGCTCTGTTTTTGTGTGTTGCCTTGAAAAATTACCAATGCCAGTAATGCTTCGTTTCTTTGTTGTTTTTGCTGTAAAATGGATCACTAAGGGAGGGTATATTTTTAGCTTCTGTTCTCTATGTTAATTCCTAGTATCTCTCACGACCGATCTTTTGTGCTTTTTTTCTTCAAAATCGTTTCCAGTTGCCTTCTTTGGTTGATAGTGGTTTTTTTAGTGGTCCCCCTTCTAAATGCTGTATCCCCTGTTGATGAATATTTTCCCTGTTTACAGTTTTTTTCCCAAACTGCTATTTGAATCGTGCCCCCTCTTTTCTGATTAACCGATGATGACTAATCCCCCCTCTTCAATGCTTTCCTCGGGTTTTCCTTATTTTCCATAACTTCCTATATCCATTATTGTTTTCTGGGAATCTTGACGTGGCCAATCCGTTCTTTTGCCTGAGACCAAGCTCATGACCATTGCTGCTGGAATGTAAGTTATCAAGGCAGTTAGGACAGTTGTAGCTCGGTTGTTAGCTTGTTGTGGCATGGAGTTGGGTCT